CGGGGGGGCGGCCAAAATTGTTTTTGCTTTGGGCGGCAAAAATCCTAGAGCCGGCCCTGCGGGCCGGAGGTGCTCGGCTGGGGCTGGGCCAGCGCGCTTGGCCGAAACCAGGGCCGCCGCCCTGGGGCCCGAGCCGGGCTGGAGCCGCTGGAGCCGGGGCCGGCGCTGCTGGGGCCTGAGCTGGGCCGCGCCGGGGGTGCCCAGCCAGTGCCGGGCTGGCGCGCTCGGCCAGAACCGGAGCTGCTGCCCTGGGGCCCGAGCTGGGCCGGAGCCGCTGGGGCCGCCAGGCGCCGCTCGGCCCAGGCTGGAGGGAGCTGCTCGGCCAGGGCCGTGCCTCCCCGGAGCTCTCCTCTTTGCGCCCCCCCCGCCCCAGCTTACCTGCTGCTGCCTCCCGCCTGCCCCTGCTTCTTTTCAGACTTCCCGGGAAGATCTGATTGGCGGGAAGCAGGGGAGGGGGAGGAGCAGGCGGGCGGAGCGTTCAGGGGAGGGGAGGAGGGGGAAGACAGCTGCGGGGCCCGGCTGCAGGGGCTGCAGGGGATGGGGGAGCTGGGAAGGGGCTTTGGCTGCCGAGCGGCGCTTGGCCGCCGCTTTTCTGTCCATAAATAGCCGACCCGGGGGAAATCCCGGACATCTTTAGATTTTTAAAAATCCCCCCCAGACGGCTATTTATAGACCGAAAAGCCGGACATGTCTGGGGAAATCCGGACAAATGGTAGCCCTACCTTAGTGATGGGGGGGTGGGCATGGAAGGGGATTAGCGCTACGCCTGGCTTTGGGCTGCCAGGGGCTGGGCATTTGTCTCGTCTCTGCAAACCCACCGCCCATCCTCGCTGCTGGCACCGGGGCCAACTGCTGCCAGCACGCTCACCATTGGCCTCTGCATAAAGGTGCCTGTCTCGGGGGCAGTGTGTGCTCAGCCCCTCCAGAAATTGGGAGGTAGGGGCAGGGCTGGTGCAAGGATACTTTGCGCCCAGGCGAAACGTCCACCTTGCGCCCCCTCTCCCCCCGGAGCATCGCTTATTATAAACTTTCAACAATTAATACTGCATAATATGGCCTTGGTCATTAGAATTAATACACATTCGTCTTGAAAATTTATTACTTTCATTATTTAGTCTACATACTTAATGAAAATAAATGGCCTTGGGTCTCCTGCATGTGGCTAGAGTCCCTCCTGTCCCCCCCCCCCACTGGATCTGGAAAGGGCTGTTTTGGGGATCAGAGCACAGAGATGGGAGTCGGGGTCTGGCTTCTATTCTCCATCCTGGCACCAACTCACTGGATGACTTCAGGCAAGTTACTTCCCCGTTCTGGGCTTCAGCTGCCCCCAGTGCTAAGGTGTGAAATGGTTCCTTGCTCCTGGGCTGGAAAGTGCAATGCAGGCGGGAGGGAGGTCTGAAGGCCTGTCTTCCCCACAGGTGGGAGGCGAGGACAGAGTTCCAGCCTCGTTATGACCGTCCTGGTTGCTTTACTCTGCCCCACGCCAATCGCTGCTGAAGCCCCTTACTCAGAGAGCTCTGGCCCAGGACAAAGGTGTCAGTGTCATTCTGGGCCTGATTTTCAGAGATGCTGAGCACCTGCCAATTCCCCGATCTCTGTGGGAACTCCAGGTTCTCAGTACTTCTGAAACTCAGGGCAATTTATTTCAAATCATAGAATATCAGGGTTGGAAGGGACCTCAAGAGGTCATCTAATCCAACCCCCTGCTCAAAGCA